ATTGTCTTTGAAGAGTTTCTTGCTCAACATAGGCAAATCAAAAATAAAGAAGTGCATTATGCGCTTCGTGATGCATTGATCGAGCATATGTGGGAACATTATGGTAATTCTGATAATTAAATGTAGCGGGTGTTCTATGATTTATTATTGTGGATTAAAATAATATTTGCATTATAATTATATTGTATCATATAAACATAAAATTAAAGATAAATTGTATATTATTAAAATAAAATTATATCATTTCAAAGATCTTATCAAGAAGACGATTAAAACAAAATTAATATTAAATATAATTTAATTAAAAATAAAATTACATAAAATATAATTAAAGTCTAATTTATTAAATTACAACTATTAGTTTTGTTAAAAGAATAAAAGTATAAATATAAACTTTATGAGGGGTGTAGGAATAAAATTTGGTGTAATGGGTTGGAGATGGAAAAAATTTGGTGTAAGAATATGCTGGAAATATTTCTTTTTGGTGTAAAATTTGGTGCAATGGTTGGAGATGGTCTAATAAGTTTATTTTCAAAACGCGTTTCTACTCCAGCTGGTTCCATTTCTTCCAAAAACTCAAAATTATCCCTGATTGGAAAACAAACTAATTTCACAATAGAAAAGATTATTCAAAAAATCGAACAATGCAAAGCTCAAATAAAAAATAAAAGCCCAGTATTCGAACCATTCCTCTTTCCCCCTTTCTGTGGAAAAAAAAAAGGGTTATTAAAAATCCCTGAACTTTGAAATCAATTATAAAAAATGTGATCTTCACAAATTATCCCTGCGAAACAAACTAATTTGATCTTCATCCCAAAACTCATGTATATTCACAAATTATTATAAAATTAAGAAATTAACACACTGTCCTTATAGGTCATTTTACATACAATCACCTAAAAGTAAACGGCTAATTTAACAAACATTTTTCTATAACCAGCTAATACAATTAGCTGGTTAAATCAGTTAGCACAATCAGTTATTAACTATCAGCCAAATACCCCCAAAAAGCTGTTCAAAACAGCTTTTTACGACCAATTTTTTGAGAAAGTCATTTTGTATGTAATCAGCTATCAACTAACAACTAATTTACCAAACATCTTTTTACAATCAGCTAATTCTATCAACTAGTGAAACCAACTAACCCAATCAACTAACAACTATTTATCAAATACCTCTTTATCTTTTTACCTTCATTGGGATGTATGTTAGTATGTAGGGATGTCAATTCAGTCCTAAACCAATGGCTAGCCCAATATACCCAAAAAATTATAGGGCTAAAATCCAATAAAATCAACTCAATAAAAAAAAATAAAGTAATTGGGCTGGCCCTATAGGGTTACTGGGTTGAGTTGGGCTAACCCACCGGATTGTCGAGCCAGACCGCGGATAGTTATGCTGTGCATCCGTATGCACCATGCATGGTGCATACGGATGCAAAAACGACGTCGTTTTATTAAAAACGCGCGTCTCTCCTTAAAAAAAAAATCAGGTTCGATTCCCAGCAACAACATTATTCATTCTGAAATTTTAGTTCATAGATTATGGAATTTTAGTTCATTGATTCTGGAATTATAGTTCATCGATTCTAGAATTGTAGTTCATCGATTCTGAAATTTTAGTTCATAGATTTTGGAATTTTAGTTCATTCATTCTGAAATTTTTAGTTCATAGATTAGATTATGGAAATATAGTTCATCGATTATGGAATTATAGTTTATCGATTATGAAATTTTAATTCATATGTTGTTGATGGGAATCGAACATAAATTTTTTTTTTTAAAGGAGACGCACGTTTTTAATAAAACGACATCGTTTTTGCATCCGTATGCACCATGCATGGTGCATACGGATGCACAGCATAATTTGCCGCGGACTGCCATCTGCCATCGCATGCGGATTGCGGCTGCTCAATTCTGCTGATTGCAAGTGATTTATTTGATTTCTTACAGCATAAACATTTAGTTTATTTTGTTCATATTTATTTGATTTCTTCCCGCATAAACATATAGTTTCTTTTGTTTTTATTTTAGGTACTTATTTGGTTTAGGAATATATATAAGCAGTTGGTTTATATAATTAGGAATATATATAAGCATTAGGTTTATATAATTAGGAATTTATTTTAGTGAAATTTTTTGTCCGCTAAACTGCTGTAGGTACCGATATTTATATTTTTTTCGGCTAAAACCGCCTGTGGGTATCAAATTATTGTTTAATTTCTATGTTGAATTATTATATTGTATTGAATTTATTTATTTGAAAACTACATGTTTTCGGTATATTGTTTAATTTTTATACTTTTATTTTATTTTTATGTATAGAAGAGATGACTAGTGTGAATGAAATTGATACAATTGATAGTGATAACATATCTACTCAAAAAAAGAAGAAAGTGTGAAATCATTTTTCACCTGTTGAAAAAGGTAAAGATGATAGATGGATGGTTACATGTAATTATTGTAAAAAATCATATTTACATGATGCTACTAAAAATGGAACGTCAACTTTATGTTGATTATGAATTTTTGACATGTGAATTATGTTAATGCTTGATTATTAATTCATTGATTTAGCCTGCTGGATAAGCCCAATAATTCATAGTTTAGGGTTAGGGCCAATCCAACTCAAAAACTAAACAAAACAAGACCATTTAACCCAAACCTATAAGCCCCGCAAATTATGCTGTGCAACCGAATGCACCTTGCAAGGTGCATACGGTTGCAAAACAGCGCCGTTTTGGTTTAAAAAAACGCGCATCCCACTTAAAGAAGAAATCAGGTTCGATTCCCGGCAATAGCATTTTTATATATCCACAATTTCATAACTATATATCCATAATTTCATAACTATATATCCACAGTGAATGAATGAAGTAAAAATCCACAATGAATGAATGAATGAAGTAAAAATTCACAATGAATGAATGAATGAAGTAAAAATCCACAATGAATGAACTAAATATCCACAATATATGATTGAACTAAATATCCACAATGAATGAACTAAATATCCACAATTTCATAACTATATATCCATAATTTCATAACTATATATCCATAATTTCATAACTATATATCCACAGTGAATGAATGAAGTAAAAATCCACAATGAATGAATGAATGAAGTAAAAATCCACAATGAATGAACTAAATATCCACAATATATGATTGAACTAAATATCCACAATGAATGAACTAAATATCCATAAATTCATAACTATATAACCACAATTTCATAACTATATATCCAGAATTTCATAACTATATATCCACAATAATGCTATTGCTGAGAGTCGAACCTGATTTTTTTTTTTTTTTAAGTGGGACGCGCGTTTTTAATCAAAACGACGTCGTTTTGAACCGTATGCACATGCGCATGGTACATTCGGTTGCACAGCATAACTATTGTATAAGCCCCAATCATTATGCTATGGACCCGTGTCCAGCATGCATGCTGGACACGGGTAACAATGCCATTAGTGGCACTGTTATCTTCTACTTTAAAAAAAAAAAAAAAATCAGACCGCTTCGTTATAGGAATATATGTTCATAATTTTATTACTATATGTTCATAATTGTAAGTTCATAATCAAAGCTCTATGTTCATAATTCCATAACTATACATTCATACTTCCATAACTGTACATTCATAATTCCGTAACTGTACATTCATAATTCAATAACTGTAACTTCATAATTTTCGAAGCTCTATGTTCACAATTTTAGAGCTCTATGTTCATATTGTAAGTTCATAATATCAAAGCTCTGCGTCCATAATTTCATAACTGTACATTTATAATTGCATAACTGTACATTCATAATTCAATAACTGTAAAATCATAATTTTCGAAGCTTCATGTTCACAATTTTAGAGCTCTATGTTCATAATTTTATCACTATATGTTCATAATTGTAAGTTCATAATGTCAGAGTTCATAATTTTATAACTTACATTCATAATTCCATAACTGTACATTCATAATTCCATAACTGTACATTCATAATCTCATAACTATACATTCATAATGGCACAATTGAATAACACCGTTAACAGCGAGACAAAATAAAAAAAAAAAAAATTAACTGGAATGATGCGTTTTCCTTGAAAACGACGTCGTTTTGGACTCGTGTCCACAATGCATTGTGGACATGAATCCAGGGCATAATTTGCATATAATCTCAACAGCCCTGCAGGGTTAGCTCAAAACCTAGTGGACTAGCCCAATTGACATCTCTAGATGTATGTACAATTAATCTTTTGAAAAATTTTTCCCAAAAAAAAAAAAAGAAAGATGAAATTCTCTCAACTTACACCTTGGCCTAACAAAATAATAAAATGATAAATCATATTAATTCAACGACTTCTTAGATAGGTAGGAGGCAATCGTTATGCTGTGCATCCGTATGCACCATGCATGGTGCATACGGATGCCAAAACGACGTCGTTTTATTAAAAAACGCACGTCTTCCCTTTAAAAAAAATTCAGGTTCGATTCCCAGCAACAACATTATATTGTTCATTCATTCTGGAATTTTAATTCATAGATTATGGAATTATAGTTCATTGATTATGGAATTATAGTTCAGATTATGGAATTGTAGTTCATCGATTCTGAAATTTTAGTTTATAATTATGGAATTTTAGTTCATTCATTCTGAAATTTTTAGTTCATAGATTAGATTATGGAATTATAATTCATCAATTATGGAATTATAATTCATCGATTATGGAATTTTAGTTCATATGTTGTTGCTGGGAGTCGAACCTGATTTTTTTTTTTTTTTTTTAAAGGAAGACGCCCGTTTTATTAAAACGACGTCGTTTTGGCATCCGTATGCACCATGCATGGTGCATATGGATGCACAGCATAATTTGCCGGTAGGAGGACGAGTATTGGGTATCTACAAAGTATCTTTTTTAAACAATTCCACCAAGAATATAACTTGCCACCCAAACTTCAGGAGTAAATTTAATAGGACAGAAATGCAAACACAATATTTAAGAATTGAACTCTCTTCATTGTATGTACCAAAGTGGCTGCATATTACAGTGCAAGAAACAAAGCACCAAACAAAATGGGATCTAAATCCCATTAAAAAAAAAACCCAAGATTCTGAAAGGGTAAAAAACAACCTAGGAAAGTTGTCATGACAACCAGAATGAACTCATTGCCATGGTCAGAACCTGAGTATTTGGTGCCTGTGTTCCTCAAATTGTTCTATGCAAACCACTTCCTAAGATCCCACATGTACACACACAAAACAAAGCAGACTCTATCATGACAAACAAATGTAATGCACTGACTGATATCCATTATAATGTTCGAAGCAAGATCGAGCAAAACCCGCAATTGAGGTTTCTGGTTCAAGCTCCTTCGATCTTCAGATGACGTGTGAGCGAAAACGCAATGTTGGGGATGGTAGCTTTAGTGTCAGGAAACCATGGCTGTGAAAGAGAGCCTCCGGAGGAGACCAAAACGGGTTACAGCAGGCCTTTTCGACGAAGCCTGCAAAAATGGTGAAAAAAGTCGAATGCCATCGCCTCTTGGAAAACAACCAAGCCACCAACATATCATGAAACCCAGAATCGATTCATTCGATTGGGTAAAAACCGCTCACATGTACACTTTCTAATCCTCGGAGCTGATTCGATCAGTAAGATCACTGCTTCTAAACCGAATGCCATCTCAATGTAATGCGTTTATATATAGGCTCACGAGCTAGGATAATATATCACACCTCCACATGTTCTCCACGAGGAGCTCGATTGCACTGCTACCCAAAGAGCTGCAGCGTTGGAGATTCAAACCGACTAGACTCTTCCCTAATTTTTGAAGAGAAGCAACACTCCTATCCGAGACCATAAAGCAACCCGACAACGAAAGTATCTGCAAATTTATTTGCACGCCACATGACAAAGCAGCAACCCCGGAATCAGTAATCGAGCACCTCGAAACGTCGAGATCATTAAGCAGACTACAGTTATCAGCAACTGCCATCAAGCTCGCATCCGTAATCTTCTGGCAGCCATCGAGATTCAGCACTTCGAGCGTGTGACCGTGCAGCCTAACAAGGGCTAACACGACTTCGTCTGTCAAGTTTGGACAGTCGCTGAGGTTCACCTTCACGAGCCCGGCCTCGCAGCTATTCAATAGCGGGAGAAGACCGGCGTCCGTGATTCCACAAAGGCCACCGAGATCGAGATGGTGTAGCTGCGGGCAGAGCTCGCCCACCATAGCCAAACTAGTGCTACCGAAACCCGGGCAGTTTCGAATGGACAAGGATCTAAGAGACCCGCAAGGAGACAACAACGATGAAGTTTGTCGAGGTAGATCCTTAACAGACATACATTTGGACACAGACAGAGTCTTTAGTTTGCTGCAATTAGAAACCGCATTCACGATACCCGTTTGCGTGATCCGGTTGCATTCTTCCAACTGCAAACTCTCGAGGGATACGGCGGCTTTCGTGAAGGCTGCCAATCCAAAATCAGACACAAAGAAACACTTGCGAATACACATCTGTTTTAGGCTCGGACAACCCTTTCCCACTGCCTCGAGACTCACATCGGTTGTCCCCCGACACGAAGAAATCGTCAAAGAAGCCAGATTGTGCAAGCCTCGAGCACTCCCCATGACCCAAAACCCCTTCTGGCTTACATTATGAAGTGCACTGAGATTAAGACAGGTAATTGCCTTCCCGTAATGTCCAATGACAGCAAGCGAGAAATCCGTGATGTTTAAAGCGTGAAGTTTCACTTTCGTTAAGACCATGGAAGCTGAAGATAGCAGACTCGCAACGCCCTGATCTGAAACTCGAGGGCAGTCCTTGATGGTAACAGATTGTAACTTAGTACAACATCTTCCAATAGCTTGTAGCCCCTCGTTCCCGATAGATGGGCAAGATTCGATTGTTAACGAGGTCAAATTAGGGCAATTTTCAGCGATTGCAACGAGACCTTTGTTGGAAACCGAAGGGCACTGGCATAAATCCAGCTTCTCCAACGATTGGCATTCCTTTGCAATCTCTAAAAGGCCTTCATCTCCAACCGAAGGGACATTCCAAAGGGACAGGACCCTGAGGGAAGGGCAACCGTGAGCTATAGCTGATAAACCGACATTAGTAATTCCTCGGGCAGAGTTGCTCCCTCGGACCGAAAGCTTCCCCAGTCCTCCACGGCTTGAAGTCCCAACTGCAATCGCTGCAAGCCTAATATCAGTAGCTTTCTTCCCTTCCAAAGACCTCGTAAGGTATCCTTCACAATCTTCATCAGCAATGCCCATCGTAACATCACGATTCGTGCTCCTGCAAATTTCAGTGCATCGAACACTACCCGAGAGCATGAGCCAGCGCTTGGAAACACAAGCAGCAGCACTCCTTTCGGGACCTCCGGGCAATCGTCTAAAGATCTCGAATAAACATTCATCCGGAAGAATTTCGATAGATGGCTTCTTCTCCTCGTTGTCTTCAACAACGTATGGGCCTGTAATTCGTGCCCGCTTTCTAGGAGGGCAGTAAACATTCACATGACCAAGGGATAACATAATCCCCAAGTCTGAGGAGCACAATGAACTTCCATTGTAGAATTCATCATCACCTGAACACCAAAGAGGGAAAAACTACTTCAAACATCTTTTCTTCAAGTTAATTCAACACATTTCACTAAGATTTTCTTAAACAAGCTACACCCATTCTAAACTTTGCATCCTAATTCAAGTCAGACTTAGATCCCCATATTAGGAATGAATTTTAAGATCAACCATTATAGCAAAAAGAACTTAACTTCTACTTGGATTCTAAACAAAGTAATACCAATAAAGCTCATCCATAATTTAAAAAAAAAAAAAAGTTCTTTCCAAAGAAGATCAAGTTCCAAGCATCCATCCATAAATTAATTCCCAAAGATATGCTTTTCGATCAGAACCCAGACATAAATGTTTAGAGTCCATCCATTATATAGCTACCAAAGATATGCAATTTTCACAGCCAAAAGACAATTCAATTTGCATACTAATCATAACATAAATCTGAATCAGTGAATAAGAATCACCAAATCTAAGATTATGCTCAACAAATTCATCAAAATCCAATTAACCCATAAAACATAAAAGGGAAAAACTTCAAAAACTCACCGCTATAATCAACAAGAGTAGGCATGGCTGCAGCTTTAATTTTATTCAAAGAAAACCCCACAAGATGAAATTTTGCAGCAAGAACAGCAGAACCCAGATTTGTATTCCAGCCAAGAATTGCATTCCAGACTCAGAAGCCCAAAATAGTTTCAAGAAAACCACAGTTGCAAAGTTGGGAAAAAATGGAGAAGGAGAAAGAATATGGAGATGTGGGTTGCAGCTTTCTGAGATTCTATAAATATATACTCCCAATACAGGCAGACAAATTTTAAAAGATTTGATCTATTAAAAGTAAATTATTGTATTCCAAGTTAAATGAATTTGGTGAGACATCCATAGGCTTTTAGATACCAGAACCATTGCCTGTTTCTGCCCATTCTTGCATGGTTCAATGAATCGTTCCGTGATACCGGAATTTCCGGTCATTGTTCACAGCTCGCCACTCGCCCCACTCGCCCTTCTTTTTTCCCGAGTCCAAACCGGTTAGCCACGCGCTTTTACCGACAGAAAACGTTTTTTTTTTTTTTTTTTTTTTTTTTTTTTAAATTTTTTTTTTTTATATTTAAATATGACATTCATGTGCTATCTTCATTGGGATTCGACTTGATTCGTATCTACAAAATTTGACACATTATATTTTTACTAGGAAGAAAAGTTTAGCCCAAGATTTTTCATCGTGACATATACACCTTGTAATAATGCTTATACCGTGGACCAGGTTAATGTAGTAAAATGAACTTTATATATATATATATATATATATATATATATATATATATATATATATATATATTCAGTTTTAGTTTGTTACATGTTAATTTTGATTTGTCCTATACTAAATATAAATATGTATCAATGACTTTGAGCTTGAAAATAGCTGCTTTATAAAAAATCGGTCGAGCCTAATAAATTTAAAATTTGACTGGTTAACTTGTCTAACTTTGCAATACTTTAGTCATTATTGTTAGTTGATTAACACTATGACTCTTTTTAAGTAGGGTTTTAAGTAAGTCAACATGACACTTTCTGATTGATTGTGGTAGTCGATCGAGTAGCACCTTAGTGCATCCAACTAAATGGTAGCTTTTGGCTAAAGTTTTACAAGCTTAAGCAAGTTAAGTACCCAATTTTCTTATTTGTTAGAGTTAATCTAATTAACTCTCTAAAAAAACTAATCTTCAATCCTGAACCCCTAGAATTACTATATTAACTATTAGATCAATTTAATTGCCTTATAATCTTATCACAGTACAAACTATTAAAGCTTGTAATTAAATGCATAAAGTATGACATGCATACTTTATGTACATATATATGGACTAATTTTAGTGTGAACCATGCTTCTCATAAAAATTGTAAATGTGTAACGAATAACACATCTAATTATATGTAAATATACACTTATAAAAATGTAATGATGCAAAACTATAAATGCATATACGTACTAATATGTAAAGGTGCATGTATTGCAATGTTACATATCAACGGATAAGATACGGAGAGATTTTACTTATTATTTGAATATATGAATAAAATAGGATGTATGGTTGAATGAAAATTTCTGTGAAACAGCTAGCTAGCTGAGCTAGAAACATTGAATATGAATACAATGGCTATATGGACTGACAAGTTGGTTATCATTGAAAGTAACTTGTGATAAATTAATAACATTTGAGAATTGAAAAAAGCATATAGTTTATTATCTTAATTGTCTCCATCCACTTGCTAGGCTAATCATGATTTGCATATAGTTTATCAGCTTGTCTCTATCCACTTGCCAGGTTCATTATGATTTTCTTTGAGAATCATTTGATAATGCGGATGACGACAAAAAATATACACACACACAAAAATGTCAAATTTGTCCCTAAAAGCATCTATTACAATAATAAACTTATTGTTTTTTTTTTTTTTAATTGTTAGGACAATCAAGAAAAAGAAAGGGAGAAAAAAAATTGAAAATTGAAGGTAATTGTTAGTTGGGACCATTCTTAATGCACCCATTATGTAGTGACCAACGGTTCTTCCTTTTTTTTTCTCCTTTTTTACTTTCAAAAAATCACATGGCGTTTGGTTGGAGGGGGGAATTATGTGGGAAAAGAATTGTAATTCTATGGGAGTTGAATTACTGGGAATAAGGTGAGAATTTAAATTCCAGTGTTTGGTTGATAGGAATAGAATTACTGGGAATTTCAATTCCAATGTTTGGTATACATGGGAATTGAAAGGGAATAAGTAGTATAAAGTTAAAAATGTCCATTATTGTTGTTAGACATTAATTTTAAGTTAAAAAAGGAAGAGATAATTTTGACTCATCACTATCTTTTTTTCCCAGGAATTAAAATACCAGGGGGGGGGGGGGGGGGGGGGGGGACATGGGATTTTAATTCCATGAAAATGGGGGAATTACTATTCCATGGAATTGCAATTCCCTTCAACCAAACTACGGAATTTAATGGCCTTTGAAATTAAGTGGGAAGGGAATTTAAAATCCCTCCAATCAAACGCCTGTCAAAGAAAAAACCATGTAATGTTAATACAAAAACATTCTTTCTCCTCTCTTATCCAAGTAAGTAAAAATTATGAAAAACTCACGAAAATTTCATTGTTACGAATGCAATTCAATCTTCTAAGTGAAAAAGATTCAATTCATTTAACTCTTTTAAATTGATAAAAGTGTAATTAAGTCCTAATTTAACATATTCAATAGTTTACAGCTGATTTTGCACTTACATAACTTTCATGTATATTTCTTTCCTTTGTGATAGTGATTTGACATGATGAATTGTACAATTTTAAATTAAATATAGTGACCAAAACACATATCACTAATCTCTAATGAATGTATAAGGAGAAACATATGGTAAGACTTAATTAGTAATCCTAATTAAGTATGATTTCTATACAATAAACTTTGGTAGAACCATTAATTGTGAAGAGATAAAATTGTCACTTTATTTTTTTTTGAGTACTATTGAGTAGGGGTGTAAACGAATCGAATCGAGTCAAATATCTCACTATTCGATTCGAATTCGACTATATATTCGAATATTCGTATTCGTATTTGTTTAATATTCAATTCGGATCTCAAATTTGATTCGTATTCGATTTGACCATCCAGTTTATTTGAATATATTCAATTCGATCGACTCGAATATTCGAATTCGAAATGCCTAACTTAACTTTTTACAAAAATTTTCAATAAATTAAGATAAAATGTAATAAAAATTTATATTTAAATAGCACAAAATATTCAAATCGACATAATTGAATTTGATTTTTTTTATTTGATTTGTTTACACCCCTACTATTGACTCTATTATAAGGTAATATTTGTTCTATACTTTATCTATCTATTGCAGCCTGAAGAGTCAATACCCCATCACCAAAGTTCGATCCTGTGACCTTCCCTCAAGCAGAGCCACAAAAATGCTATCTGAACACAAAATACTTGATAAATTACCACTTTAATGAAAATTCATAGAATAAAAACAGACACCAATAACACATGAATTGAATCAACTGCTACCCTATAACTTGATTAGACTAAAAGTCCAAATTTCCCATCTTAGTATCATATTTTTCAGCAATTATATGGTGGACCATGATCCACAAAGATTTGGGGACCATGGTCTAAAAACGGCGCTGTTTCTTTAAGTAAAAAAAATGGTTGTCGTTACAGCTCAACGGAGCCCGTATATTTGTTGTGTTAATTACAAAATGAATTACAATGTATTTAAAATGAAACTGTCTCACATATTGCTTTTATATTATCAAATGAAACTGTAATTGAATTGAAATGAAACTATAATTGAATTGAAATGAAACTGTAGTTGTGTTGAAATGAAACGGCAGTGTATATAAATAAAATTGAATAGCAGTTTCAGATATTTGAGTGTATATTGTCCAATGAAACTGTAATTATATCGAAATGATACTGTAGTTGTGTTGTAATCAAACTATAGTGTATATAAAATGAAACTGAATAACAGTTTCACATATTTGAGTGTATAATATCGAATGAAACTGTAGTTGTGTTGAAATGAAACTGTAATTGTGTTGAGATGAAACTGTAGTTATATTGAAATGATATTGTAGTTGTGTTGTAATGAAACTATAGCGTATATAAAATGAAACCGAATAACACTTTCACATATTTGAGTGTATAATGTCGAATGAAACTGAATATGTTATACATGTTGGAAAAAATAGCTTAAAATGGCATGTTAAGTGGCTATTTTGTGGTACAATTATCAGTGGGGTTCACTTCCGATTTGGGTCGGGTTAAAGTGGATTCGGATTCTTCGTAGTGAGACGAAGAGATCGATATATTGTACGCTCAAAACGGATAATGGGTGAATGAGATATTGATTCTCAAAGTAGACCCATTTGAGTTGGAAAATGAAGGGAAAAAGTGAGCTTTTTGTCCCACATTGCTTTGGAATGAAGATTTCCCCCCCTTATATACAAGAGCTCTTTTGAAGCTTGTAGAATTGTATAGCATAGAGGCTCTCTTGCGCGCGCGCGCGAGGGGGGGGGGGGGTGCAAATCAAATTCCAACTAGCAGAGATTGAAATAGACTTGATTCAAGCCCGAGCTCGTGTGCGCCGGCACCTGGGGGCACGAATGTCGTCCGGAAATTGGCTGGCCTTGCGGGCTAAGTTATGCCCCGGCACCTGGGGGCACGAATGTCGTCCGGAAATTGGCTGGCCTTGCGGGCTAAGTTATGCCAAACTTCGGTTGTACGCTAACGGTCTGGAACCCGAAAGTTCTGACTGTTGAGGGGATTGAATTCATCTGTTACGGAATTAATTGTCTATTAATTCCAATTTTGAATTCTGAATTCAATTCCCAGGTAGTGGCCTGCTGTTATAGCTGTTGGAAGGCAGCTTTAATGTCATTTTTAATTGCCATAATGAAGGCTATTGGCTCCTTCAACCCTATATAAGAGAGGGTAGAGGCAGTAGAGTTTTACACACTGTGAGAACAACAACAACACTGCACGAAACATTGTTTTTCCAGCCTCAAAATTCTGCTTCTACTCCTCTTCTTAGCCATACTGTGTTCATAACCACGTCTTGCTCGCCGGATTCTTTGTTTGAATGCTCAAACACTGAATCATAGCAAGTTTTATCCTGGGAAGCCTAGGCCACAACGCTCCTAGCATCTTTTAGGAGGTGGCAAATAAGGTTTTAAGGAAAGAGTACTCACTCGACTCTTGCCAAATTTCTTCATCTTTTCTTCCCTTCTTTCTAGAAAATAATAGTCAATTTTAATTTGATTATTATTTGTGTTTTCTACCAACGGTACCTACAATACAAACATAT